CACACACACACACATTATCTGTGATTGACTCGACCCGTCAATTACACAGTTATATTTAGCGTCATCTGACATTTCCTTTGCGAGTGCTTGACGCACGACGTATGAAAACACATCATTAAAACGCTCTCCAGCCGTCGATCTAACCAGGTACCTGGAAGCAGCTGATCAGAACCACCAGCGCCTCTCTCCGCGCTCGATAATGTGTCTTGAGTGGATTATATATGGATGTAGATTATCCACTTACTGTTAAAAAGACACCATAAATTAACCACTTAAAAGAAGAAAAAAAGAAAACATCCAAGACGAGACGCGTGAAGAAAATTGCCCGATTGCCTGAAACGTAAATGCAGACGTCTCTCAGAGCCAGATATGAAAAGAACAACCGTCCTCGATGCGTCACGCTGTCCAGGATTCGCTGAAACGAACACCGAGAACACGCAGAAGACAAGTGAACCACCGTCGGTCTGTGATTTCATGGAGTGGGTGTAAGACGTGATCATCAGACTGTAACTCTGATTTAAAGGATCTTTGTTGTTGAAAGCGTGGACGAGATAATCCCAAGTGGATTTATCATATGATGCTTCAATGTAAATTTCTTGTGTCTCACTTGCTTGTTGTTTCGTTTGCACAGAAGCTCACAGCTGGACCTCAGTTTATCTCGTGGCTAGCTGCTAGCGGCTCCTCATTTCATCTTTGGAAGTGGTTTTGTGGCTCAAACTCTTTAATGGTTTTGGTTCTAGGACTGGTTGGGTTTCCTGAAACAGACGGCAGATGTAGAGAAAAACCAGGCAAACCTTGCCCTGTTGACCTTATGTCAGAGCTACATGAGCCAGTTACAGGCTTCACATAGACAAGAGGTAGTTTGAATAGTAAAGGTTTTTATTTGTAGACTCTTATACGCTCACTAATGACAACCTGGTGGGTTGTGCTTCAGGTTCTACCATTTAGTGGATTCAACCGGGACAAGCTGTTCACGTTCTGAGCTTCTTATAGTAGAAACAGGCCTGGACGGTTCCAGGTTAGACTCACAACCAGAAAGAAACCAGTTAAAGTCCAGTAGAGGAGCCGTGTTCGTCGTCAGCCAGGTATGATCGCTGGTTCAGAGTTAAACCAACAGAGCAAGATGAACACGAGGTCCATTCAAAAAGTCTGTAAATACCGTACATGCCACGTCCCTGGTTCTCTCTGCACAGTTTGTCTCTACAGCTTCTGTCAAATGAAGGCAAATTCCAGAAATACAGAAATAAACGTTCAATAAAACCTCCCTATGAATGATGAATTTAAACACGGCCGTGGTTAGAAGACGTTTCTCTGATTTACGATGTGAACGATGATCTGGTTTTACCCAACGATAGTTCAGGTTTCTTTAGACGTCTTTCTGTCTCGTTTCTTCTTCTTCTTTCTGAGAAACTTGGTGCCTTAAAGGCAGAACAGCACATTTTGTCAGGATTCGAGGCTCCCTGTGTTTGTTTAGTTTCAGTGATGAATGAATAATTAAAATGTGTCTCTACTGTACTGTGCATCCTTTTCCTGACGGTGTCTGTCCTCAGCTGCTGATCTTATAAATCACCGGTCAGGGGGCTCAGGTTGGTTTGAGATGCTGTGAACTTCCATGACATGTCATTTTGAGCTTAAGGACAGTTTACCTCAATAAAAATGCTCTGACGGCGCTCAGGGTTCATCCAGAGGAGCCTTAATACAAATAGTTCCACCCTATAAACCTGGAGTCTGTGTAGAACCTGCTGGACCTGCTGGACCTGCTGGACCTGCTGGACCTGAGAGACGCTGCAGGGATTCATTAAAGTCAGAGGACACGACACAGACGTTAACCAGACATGTTTCAGATCTTCCTCCTTAAATAGCTGTTTTGACAGACATCTCAACATGTTCAGTGTTAGATAGAAGTGGGCGGAGCAGAACTTACCTGCTGGCTCCGCCGGGGGATGCAGGTGATGGTGAAGGACCCACACACCTGAAGAAACATCACCGATGATGTGTGCAGGTGCAGGAAAGTGTGTACGAGGAAGTCAAACTAAAGACATGGCAGGTGGTTTGTGATGCTGCAGGGCTCTGAGCTCTTCCTCTTCTTCCCTCTCTGTAGTTCATTAGTTCTTAGGGAGCAGAAATAAGCAGAGTTCTGCTTTAAACACTCGGCTGAGGGATCAGTACCGACCCAAAACTGTTCACTGGTGCTGAATATAACTGAGAGGGGATGATTAACTTCACCTTAAAAGACAGAAATGAATTGAAAACAAATAACAAATCTGTCGTCAGGATTCATCAACGGGCGACATGTTGAACAATTTGGGTTTTGCACAGTGTTTGACGGGTTCAGAGCCAAAGCGGGTCGAACCACAAAACATCCACAGTTTCTCTGATCAGTGTTTCTGGTCGACTAGTTGGTGTCAAAGTGCTCCAACCAGCAGCCCACTGGTAATGTCACGATGCTGCTTTGAAGTTTGGCTCATGATGGTTTTGAAAATTAAACTGGACCGAGCCACAAGAACCGCTGACCGTTATATCGCAGGTAGTTCAATTCAAGATGGTGGACAGCGTGACCTCAAGCCCCGTGGAAACAACTCCAAAAAGAGCAACCTGAAGAGCAAGAGGAAGAAACGAAGGTAAAGACAACAAAATCAGGCGAAGAGTTGAGGAAAGAGAGAACGATTGTCAAGACGATGATTTCTGCTGCTGTCGGCAAATCTCATCATGAAAACAACTCAGACTGCTGGAAGTGGTTCCAAAGTGCACATGTTGAAATTAATTCCCACAATTGGATTCTTTCAAGAAGAAGAGTTTAGAAGATTTCTGAAATTTGTGAAGTACTTCAAGAAGAAAGGTTTGTCACCACTTTGTACCGCTCGGCTGTTTTGGATTTAAAAAATGTTCCTCTGCAAAGTGCACATGTAAAAACTTTCCCACCACTTCGTAGACGCTCTGTAGCCAAACGTTTGGAAGTAATTTTGACAGATTTGCAGCAAGAAGGTGAAATAAAACCTTAATGAAGCACCACCAAGCATCTGTTTCTACCCCACGGTCCTCAGAAGGATCTCTAGTTCCTGATGATGTAAACTCTTCAACAAGACAAACCTGGAATCAGTTTGTTTGTCAAGAAGTAGAAAATGTGGTACGGCCCGCTTTGGTGCTCAGCAGAAGGAAATTAAAACTGAAATAAGTCATCACAGAGCAGCTGTTTCTATCTCTGGATGCAGATAATGACTCCTCCAACAACCAGGACGGTTTTAGCAACACTTGAGCCCATTTTTCTCTAAAACTAGTAAACATGGTTCGGTCCACTTTGGTAAGATAAGATAAGATAAGATAAGATAAACTTTATTGTCTGTCACAAGTGACAGAAATTTTTCTTTGACAGGCATAAAAACAAACACATTTAAAACAACATACAAGTACAGCCATAATTAAAAGGACGTTAGGGGCAGTTAAAAACAGCAAAGTGTTCATTTCCGGCTATTAAGAGTGGTTACTGCAGTGGGAATGAATGATTTTTTATAGATGTTATAGATGGTACCGACCCCCTCATGTGTGGTTTGAGCTTTTCTTCCTCCTGCACTCACCCGTCTCCTCCTTCCTCCCCCCTGCAGGCTGCCCTACGCGGGGTACTTCGGAGGAGTGTCGGGCCTCAGTAAAAAGCAGTTCCTGAAGATCAACGGCTTCCCGAACGAGTACTGGGGCTGGGGAGGGGAGGACGACGACATCTACAACAGGTGAGCTTAACGCAGCATCAGGCAGTCGTCTCTGTGACGACCACACATCCTGCACACCACGTCCTCCACCTGCTGCACCCTACGTACACACCATGTCACACAGGAGCTGCAGCAGAGTCGAGCGTCTCGGCTGAGAGTGACGCTGAAGTGGTTCGTCGAGGAGTTGATTTATTATAATTGTTCAGAGAAGGAGGATGATTAGCAAATAAATTAACCTTTTGAAGCACTTCGGTCGGCTTCTAACGACCTGCTGAAGTTCACTAATGATGTTGCCGCGTGTGTTGGCTGAAATCAGATCCGGCGGAGGAATATTTGTGTGACAGCTTAACAGAAAGATGGCTCAGGACTCTTTAAGCGCGCTCAGCCACTTACGGGACCATTAGTTTAATTCGTCGTCTGCTCGAGATGCTTGTTTGGGTTGAGACTTCTCTAACCACCTGCTGAACTGATGATCTGACGGCGAAACGTCATCACTCTGTGCCCACAGGAACCAAAGACAATAAAGACGCTAAGTACAATAAATAAAGCCTGAGCGTAGCGACAATGAAGCTAACCAAACATAGCACCTTAATCCCCCGTATGCTCCCCGATATCTACTCCGTTAGCACAGATTAGCTCCGTCGCTCGCGTAGGCAAAGTGAAAATGTCACTTTCATATTTCCTCACAGCTGAAAAAAACGTCTAAGGTGGCGTAAAGATTTCCAAATTGTCAGCTGTCATCCTGAATTAGCCTCGACTCAGAGTTTATTTCGGTCCCACCGGTTTGCCTCCAGAGAAGCGGCTCTGACGGCGAGCAGCGGGACGCTCCTCCACCTCCGTCTTCATTGTATGGCCATTCTTCGCTATCTGTTTTTCTTCCTCCTCCCTGAGCGTCTCGCTGTCGCTCTCACACTGGGAGGCTTATCTTTCCCCTCTCAGAGTAATAGCATTAGAAGAAAAACTGAAAATAGAGCATTTGAGGATTGCAGTTTTTTTTTTTTTTCCCAGAATGGACTGTGTCAGCCAACACAGTGTTCAGGAGATTACAGCTGTTTGTCAGCATCTGGCAAGATGCGATAAAAGAGATCTATGTGTGCGTCGCTGACTGATTGTGTTCTATGTGTGTCTGCAATTACATGCCAGAGGATGACAGATCAAGTTAAAGCGCTAACTTTTTATTGGATGTTCGCTGCACTCGGTCATTAGATGCTGCAGATTTCCCCCGAGAAGTTTCCTGCACTTGAACTGTTTCTGCTGCTATGAAATGTGAAGAGATGTGCACAGAAATTAATAAAGTCCCAGTTAGGAAGCTTTTAGAGGAGGACGCCTGCGATTCTGATTTACCTCAATGCGGGTGTGTACACTGCTTAACTCACTGATTAGACCTCCACCCAGTGTCAGGTTTATGCCCTAAATTAATTACCAACATCATCTCTCATGTCTCTGTTACGGTTCATACACCAGTATGTGAAGCTCTTTAACCCAAATGATGTTTTTAATGTTGAAATATAATTATTATTGTTATCCAGGAAGTTTCCAATTCACTGTTTTACAAAAAACCCTGAAAAAATACATCCACTGTATAAAAACACATAAAACCTTTTCTTTCTTGCTATCTGACATTAAATCAGACCAAACATTTCCTGTTTCAGCTCAGTCAGGATCACCAACATTATGTCTATTTGCTAAACACCAGAATAATGAGAGAGAGAATATTTTATTACTTTCTTCAGAGTCAGAAGTTCACATCCACGAAGATGCCTTCAGACTATTTGGGAAAGCCCAGATGATGATGTCATGGCTTTGGAAACTTCTGATTGGTTAATTGACAACATCTGAGTTAATTGGAGGCACACCTGTGGATGTATTTTAAGGCGCACCTCAAACACGCTGCTTCCTTCTGTGACAACATGGAACATCTAAAGAAACCATCCAGGAGGAGAACTGTGGACCTCCACCAGTCTGGTCCATCCATGGGTTCAATATAAAACATGAAAAGTTTAGTTTGATTTAATATCAGACAGAGAAAGTCCCAACAAATGAGACAGGTGGTCTGACACACTCCAAAGATCCGACTGAACATAAGCTCGTGCCAAGAGGTTATGTTGTTTGCTGGATAGATACTTTACTGTTACTTTAATTTACAACCTTTAAGTTGTAGATAAGGTGTCGTTTTTCTCAAAATGCTGCCAGAACAGCTGCAGATTTGGGTTTCTTCTCCAGTTAATCAAAGAGTTTCTTAATCAGAACATTCCCCCTCTGCAGCTCTTTACAGCGTGAAGCTTTCTTTAAGGTGTTGCTTGAGTTTCTCCGACCAAACAGACGGAAACACCTGGAGAGCAATGTGAAGCAGCTAAAGCCACAGATATCATCCTGGTGGAGACCAAAGCTGGAGCTAAAAGGCTGCTAAACGTCGGGCACGTGTTGTCAGGTGGTCAGAAATATGACTCGTTCTGGTTCTGAAGTAGAGAACAGAGAGATGTTGGCATCAAGTCATGTTGATTGGTTTTGTAGAGGCTTCAGACAGACTGTGAGCTGAATGGTTTTTGATTTCTTAACACAATTCAGGCAATTAGCAGCTGCACATAGATGAGCTTGTGTCTACAGGTGAGCCACCAGGAGCGTCAAACTCAAACCACCTGAAAACATCAACAAGGTGTTGTTTATACCATGCATTTTTATTTTTGTGTATCTTTATTATGTGGAAATTAGAAGAACTGTTATTGATGTAGGATTCATTCTGTTTGATCCCACAATGCACGATGCTGGCTGCTGTAAGACAAACCACAAGAAGCTGATTTGCTGCGACTCGTTTCTCTGATTTCTCGTTAGCACCCAGATATGTTTAGAAGAACGTGTGGATTTAAATAAAAGTTGAAGCAAGTCAGTTCTGAAGAGCAACCGGAGCCAAATCAGGCACTTTACTGGTCTTTTAGGCCTGTTTTTCATTTCAGTGAGCCCCTTAACAGCGATGCAGGAGGTAAAGTTTGTGCATTTGTTTTCAGCTGTTGTTAAACTCTGGCAGCGCGGTGAGACGACACAGAGGTCCGGCTGGACGTTACTGAGCTGTGAGGCCGAAGTCACGCCACAAACAGGATGGACCGGGTTACAGCCGTCTCCTTTCCTTCCCTCCCTGCTCTCCTCGGTTGTTACAGCGTGAGACGAAAAATCCCAAACTCAGTCTGATAGTAAATTGAAAGGAAAAAATAAAAAATGAAAACTGGGCGACAGATAGAAGCAAACAAAGCAAAGCGTGAAGGTTGTGTTGCACCCCCTCCCACCATCCACCTTCACTTTTCAGGGCTGGCTCGCTTTAAAGCCTTTTCACGGCGCGATCTGAAGGGAAATGCCCTTGAAAACACACTTGGACAAGCATTTGGAAGAAGACGGTGCAGGATGCAGCCGTGTGTGGATGTAGCTGAGGTTATCAAACCAACTCAAATTGCCTCCCACATGCTTTTCTCATCGTCAATCCTGTGAGAGGTTTTTTTTTTTTTTTTACATTAGCAGCCTCCCCTCAGAGACAGAAATATCAGCCGCTCCATCACTTTGGCCCAGACTGGAACATCTCAACAACCATTACATGGATGTTTTGGCATATTTGGCATTCTGAGTCTCCAGATCCCCTCTCGTCTCCTCTTTCAGCCTCGCATCACTTATTAAAGTGAAATGTTTTAAACAACGCTGGACGGATTGTCTTTAATTTTGATACACGTCGGCATCAGCATTGGTTTGTAGTGTAGCACGACAACATGCTAAGCTACTGGAATAAACATTAGCTGCTTAGCAGGATGTTAGCATGCTGACGTTAGCATGTTAGCATGCTGACGTTTCCAGACGGATCAAGCTGGGAAAACGGTTTTGGAGCCTTCAAAGATGAACTGGTCTGTGATAGTGAACAATGTGTGTGATGTTACTG